AACGATCTCTCTTTGGGGGGATTTTTGCGCTTTACCACCAATTGACCCAGCCCAGCTTTGCCACTTCGCTCTGCCGTTCTCGCAGGGAGGGAGGGAGGGAGGGAGGGAGGGAGGATGGGAGGGAGAGAAAACCAAAAAGATCAAAAAAAGGATTCACAAAACAATAGCTTCCTCCCTCTTGGTGGCTCAGTCTGGCCCTGCCAAATCCATCCCCAACTTCCACTGCCTGGTTAGGTCAATTGGTGGTAAAGCGCAAAAATCCCCCCAAAGAGAGATCGTTTTCGTTTGGAAAAAGGTTTTTAAGGTAGCCACTCCCACTCGGCCAAATGGTGCACTTAGGCAAATAGTGGTGGGAAGCAATGTCAAAGAAGTCAGGGAATACACATGCTTGTGTTTCTGTGGGGCTGCTGCCACAGCCACCCACCCTGAGAGAACAGGAGAGGGCAGGCACGTCAGACTCCCATTCTGTCCTGGAGGCAGCAAAGCATAACTTCCTCAGTGTCTTCACACGCTGGGGCTGCTGCGGGTCCCGCTGCCACTGGTGCCACAGACCACCAATGCTGTAGCCTTAACACACACATCTTATTGAGGGAGCAGGAGCCTCCTGGAGAAGGGGAGGGGAGATTCCCCTCTCCCTCTCTGCTGTTCTTAAAGGGACCACCTGGAGTACTGTAGTGATAACAAGAAACTATGCAAGAAAGGCAGGGAAGAAAAACTGGTTTGTTTTAAACTCTAGTTCTTCTGAGTTATTTACAAAGTCTAACCTCCTCCTCACTTTTCCTCCACCAAAACTTGGAAGAGGCTTACTCTGACTTTATTTTTAGAAATAAAATGAGCTTTAAAAAAAATCTGTGACCCTGCAACCAGAAACTTTCTTAAAAATATCATGTAGAAGGGTATGACTTCCAAATTCAAGCCCACCAGCTTTTCCACTCTTGCCATCTTCATCCCATCCCCTGAAATGTGCTGGGTGGGGTAGCAGGGGCTGAGTGCTGCAGATGGGAGATGGCACAGCTGGCCCAAACTTTCTGGCTTTGTTTGTTTTCCCCTAGTAATGGAAATAACATAATGTTTAAAGTCACTTCATGGGAAATATTTTTCTTGGTTTTCCCTGATAGTGAAAAAAACTCAATGCTAAGGGTCTCTCCATGAGAAATATTTTTGTTTGTTTGTTTGTTTGTTTTTCTCTGGTGGCAGGAAGAACTCATTATCAATGGTCCCTTCGTGGGAGAAAAAAACTTAGGGTAAAGTAAACTTCAGAAGGTACAGATCAAAGATATCATTTGCAAACTCTTTCAAAACCTGCTGGGCAATATTATCTGGCTATAAATGGTATTGAATTGACACTCCAGAGCTAAATAATTTATTTCAAACCTTATAAACTGATTTGGAATTAAGTAATCCATAAAAAGAATCTTACCAGCTGAGGGGAAAATAGAAGAAAAGGAAAGAAAAAGAAAAGAAAAAAAACTTTGGCTCTGGTTTTTAAAACTTGCTTATACAACAAAAAAGGAGGAATAAAGAGTCCCCAGATTAAATAATGCTTTACTAAATTTAAATTTTTAAAATGCTAATGAAACAGAAATAAATGCTGCTGAAAGGCACTGATTTAAAAAATGCTAATTTGAATTAGAATGTGTACCACGGGTTTTTTTTTTAACATCAAAATAAAAACCAGGAAAGGTGTTAAGATAGGGCCAAGAAAGTTATATTTATATTTCTATAGGAGATTAAAAGTTATAGACACTATCAATGTTGGAGTATTGTTTTTATGCACTCTAAGATCATCTCTGAATTATACAAATGCTGATTTCTTGCTGGAGACAGCATACCATGACAGGGACGGCCTGCAGCAGGTGAGAATGAACACATCTCAGAAACCCTCGGCAGCTCTTTGTAAAAAAAAAAAAAAAAAAAAAAAAGTTGTTCCCATTTCTCCGAACCTTAGTCCTGGACAACGGCCGTATAGATTTCATTTGTGAGTGACTGCTTTTCAGTTGGCTTTGGTGTGCATAATTATTTTATTATATCTGACTTTCCTATTTCCTTCTCCTGCTCTGATGAAACTAGATGTTCCTTGACGTAATGATTCTTCAACAATCAAAAATTGAGGAACAGGGGACAGCACCGTCCTAATGGCCCAGGGCATGCTATGAGCTCTCATCTTGGAAACAATTTAATAACTGCACAATGGTAGTTTTAGATTAATACTTGACTTGCAAAGAAAGTTTGAAGAAATTATAAAAATGAAACAATCAATATTGGGGTCCTGAGAAAGAAAAAAGCTACTGAACTTATGAAATATGTTTCGCATAACATTTGAGAGTGGTTCCTAGTCTCCTTTGGAAATTTATAGATAAGAATATATAGAATACATAGAATTATATACTAGTAAAACTAAGTTAAAATACTGGACTATCTTAGGAGAGTCATTGTGTGCAATGTGCAGAAGCAGAAAGCTAGTGGAACTGTTGAGTTAAAGGTTAACTTGATTCTTTCTGGCCACTGTGTGGTAGCTTTGCCCATGTCATTTATCATTAGAGCTTCAAAGAAAAATGCAGCAGCTGACCTTGGGGATCTGAGCTCTTAAGTATAATAAGTCAAAAGTTAAAGTTTAAATAATGATGTTTGCAATTATGATTATTTTGACCACAGGTCTGGGAATAGGGGAAGCTTGAAACTTTGGGGGAAAATTGTAATTCTTAATTCTATGTGAGATATGATCATTCTTTTGAATTTGATTTAGCAATGATTGATTATATAATATCTTTTTTTCTACTTGCTTTTGGAGTAACAATAAAAGACTGGAGCAAGTTAAAGGCTAGTGGGGTGTGTGAGGAACAGTGAGAGGAGAGAGCTGTGGTATGTGTGAGTGCATGGAGAGGGTGTGTGTGAGTGAAAGGAGAGCACCTGGGGTGTGTGTGTGTAAGGTGTGTGTGTTGTGTGTGTATGTGAGTGAGTGAAAGGACAGCACACAGAGGTGTGTAGGAGTATGGGAGTTTGAGAAAAGAAAAGCGTACAAGAGAAAAGCAGACTGAACAGGAGAGCGCAGAGAGCATGCAGCCTCAAGCAGAGAAAGAGAGGGGAAGGGAGGGAGGGAGGGGGAGAAGGAGACACAAGACAGAGAGAGAGAGAGAGAGAGAGAGAGAGAGAGAGAGAGAGAGAGAGAGAGA